GGGGAAACTGAGATGTGCGTCTGCTGGCCGAGGAGGGGCCTCCGGGGGGAGGTGCCGCCTGAAGGAGGGTACAGGGCAGGAGACAGGCCCTAGGCCAAGGGTCCACACAGGCAAAGGCTGTTTCACAGATGCGGAAACTGAGGCTCAGAGAGCTCAGGTGACCCTCCCAAGGCCACCGCCCCCAGCCATGATGTGCTCAGTGAGGGACGGCGTCTTGCCTCTGGGATGACTTGCAGTGAAAAGGAGCGTAGGCCCGGCCGGCGTGGCTCCGTGGTTGAGTGTTGACCTTTGAACCAGGAGGTCACTGTTCGACTCCCCGTCAGGGCACATGCCCGGGTTGTGGGCTCAACCTCCAATGGGGGCGGTGCAGGAGGCAGCTGATCAATGATTCTCTCTCATTATTGATGTTTCTATCTTACCCTCCCTCTCCCTCTCACTTCCTCTCTGAAATCAATAAAAATATATTGAAAAAAAGAAAGAAAAGAAAGAAAGGAAGAAAGAAAGAAAGAACGAACGAACAGAGGTCTAGGAGTGGAGTTGTCTGGGTGAGGTCAGCACGTGGACCCCAGGAGGAGGCAGTGAGGGTCCCCTGTGCTCTCGGAGGTGGCACCCTCTATGGCTTTGGGGGTGGGGAGTGTTGACCAATATGAGTCACCTCTGAATTAGGGTGGGTCTCTCTCCCTGCGGGGGGACTCGGGCCAGGAACCCAGGCGGGGTGGGGCGCCGGGGAGCAGGGCTCAGGGTAGGACCCACAGTGATAAATCAGAAAAGTATCAGGGTGGCAGCCCTGCCCTGCCCTGCTGATGCAGGAGGCAGGAGGCGGAGGGCTGGCCACCAAGGCTCTTCGTCCTGCTGGGCCGGGAGTCCCTGCAGCAGCGGGAGGCCTCTGGCTGGGCTTCCCCTGGTCAGCAGCCTCGGTGCAGCTCCTTGGCGTTCCCGGTGACTTCTCTTTCTTTAGAACCTGAACTCAGATCACAGGGTGGGGGGTTCTGAGCTGCGTGAAGCTCTGAGCCTGTCCTTACGGAGCACCTCTGCTGTCATCAGCCTCGATTTCTAGTGCCTATCACCCAAGGCCAGTGGTTCTCAGACCTTGATGTGCATGCTGGTCCCCTGGGGGAGGGGCCCCCCACAATGACACATTCCTGAGTCCCACGTACGCCGTGGAATCTGGGGCTTCCCATGTGGTTCGCACGCCCCTGTCTCAGGCACCCTCCAGCACGTTCACTCAATGCCCAATCACGTCCACTTTCTCCAATCCCCAGCCCCGCAGTCCTCACACAGCCCTCACACAGCCCTCACACAGTCCTCACACAGCCCTCACACAGCCCTCACACAGCCCTCACACAGCCCTCACACAGTCCTCACACACCCCATCTGTGTGCACTCACACCCATGCTCCCAGGGTCGTGTGGGCCTGGTACCCACACAGACACACAGACATACACATGTGCACGCAGGCCGGTCACACGATCCGCAGGGCCCTGTGCATAACGTTCGAGAATGTTTGAACCATTTTGAGATGGTAGCAGCAGAACATTGAACCGGCACGGGCCCTGTGTGACAGCAGGGGTCACCCCTGAACAAAGAGGACATTCGGGTCACACATCCCGGGACCCTCAGGGGTGACCTTGCCCACAGCGTGCACCGCACACGCTCAGGGGCCCACTCCCCTGGGTGGCATGTCTTTCAGGCGGACTGTTTATCGGGACGAGGAAGTGGGCTGGTGAATGTTTAATAGGCACAGAGTTGAGTCATGTGTGAATTGCTTGTAAGCAAGAAGCACCAGATGGGGTATGAAATGAATCAGTGTCTTGGGTTTCGTGAGTAACATTTTGGTTGGGTTCTGACTAGTCTGGGAAAGCTTTTCGGCTCCCCCGCTCCCACCCAAATCCACAGGAAACCGGCCCTGATTTCATAGTCCAAACGCCACAAAGCTCACCGTACGGAGTTCCGTGGACAGACTTCTCTACCCGACAAATTCCGATGCGTGGGGGCACCGTTCCTACTTAGGACGGAGAAGAGGACTTCTCACACTCATTGAGCACCTACTATGTGCCGGCCCCTGTACTGCAAAACGTGTGATGTGCACACAGTATCTATGCACCACTGTTTGTAAGTGCCAGGCACGGTGCCTCGTATACAGTCGGTGCTTATTGCTGTATTTCATCAGAGCCCAGGATCCCCCTGACTGTGCGATGCCCACCCTCTTCTGGCCGCTGAGGAAGAGGAAGCACTGCCAGGCAAACCCGGGCCCCAGCCAGGCACTGAGGAGGGGCCACGCTCCAGTCCTAGAGGCGCTGGAAGGAGGCATCAGCCTTCCCAGTCAACAGATGGCAAGACCGAGGCCAAGAGAGAGTAAAAACCAGCCAAGTGGCGTTTTGGCTCTTGCTATTATGTGATCCGAGGCACAGGAGGGCTGATTACTGAGTTCCACCCACTGTGTATGCAGGGTTGTTTGGGGAAAGACACCTGCCTCAGTTTCCCTGGAATGCTGCTGGTGTGTCCCCTCCTGGGCAGCCTGGGGGCTAAGGGATTCCCGAGGGCGGAGGCTTCATTCTCCGCGCCTCCCCATATTTGACCCAAGGCAGGCACCGTGGGGAGCGTTTTCTTCACAGCAAGGTGTAGAGATTGGAGTCATTTTGAGGCCTGGAGGCCTGCGCTGAACCCAGGACCTCCCCTCAGGCAATAATTCATTATGTGAGGATTTTTCACAGACAGCAACTGGCCTTGGAAGGCAATGAGCTCATGAATATGCATAGGCTCATCCTCATAAATTATGCATTGGATACCGGGCTTCCCGGGGAGGCTAGGAGGGCTGGAATGGCTCAGTCCGGCAACAGAAGGCTCCTGCACAAGGGCTTCTCGTAAAGCTCACATCCCTGCCCGCCCTCCCTCCCGTCACAACGAGCGCGGTCAGGCTCGTTCGCACGCGGGACTCTGGTTCTCAGAGCGTCTGGGTCTCCCTGGCTGGTGCAGTGTGGGTGCGCCTGCAGGGCGTCGGGTCAGGCCCGCTCTCGGCTGCGGCGGCCCTGGGGGCAGCTAGTTCAGGCCCCACAGCGGGAAAGCTGACGCCCAGACATGGGATTGACGTGTTCAGATTTAGGGCTCATGTTCCTCCGAACTGGAGCCTACTCGGGTCCAGGTGGCCCTGACATCACCCAATAAGCACTGGGCAGGGAGTCAGGGTGGGGCCCAGGTTCTAGAAGGAGGGGGAGGGAGGGGATCTGTTCGACCCACCACAGGTGTAGGGCCAGCAAGGGGCACCCGGCGCTCCCTGGAGCCAGCCTGGGCCTCCCAGAGGTGCTGCAGGGCACACAACGGGCGTGCCAGTCAGGGTTGGGGGTCCCTGCAGGGCCTGCTTGGCTCTCCCCAGGGGCCCTCCCTCCTCCTGCCCAGATGCTGCCACACCTGCCCACCTTCCTGGTTTCACTGACCCTGAGGTTCTGTGGTGGCCCAGTGCTCCCTGCAGCCACGCCTCAGCCCGCCTTGCGTGCAGCGGGGACCACTTCTCTCTGTGTGTGTCCTGTGACTGCCGGCGCCATTCCTGCTATCGACAGCCACCACGCGTGGGCATGCCAGCCTCCTGGCCCCCATCCCCCTCGCAGCCCGGACCGGGATCCGTGCATGTCTTATGGACCAGGCCTCAGCCAGGGAGGGGGCCCTGAGGGTGGGGAGCATGTCGCCTAAGCTCAGTCACTGTCCCCAGCGCGGTGGCTCTGGGTGGAGTCCCAGCTGAGCCTTCCCCGCCTCACCTGCCACAGGGCCGCGGAGCCACCGCAGACACCGTGAATCTTCACGGTCAGGAACGAGGGGCCAGGCTTCGCCCACTCCTTTAAAAAGCACCCAAAGGTGTGTAACAAGCAACACCTCTGCCGAAGAGGCTCCAGGTGGAGGAAAGGCCCATGAGATCAGCTGCGGTGGCGCCACAGGAACCCAGCGCGGCGGTTCTGAGCAGAGCCGCCCGATCAAGCCGCCCATACAAGGGGATCGCCCATTTCCCCATTTCTCCCTGACCATGTCACATGGGGTCCCCACATTGCTGCGTCATCTCCATAGTGACGGCTCTTACCGACTGCCGGACATCACGCATGGACCATTCCTTACCTTGGGCGTTGCTGTGTGGGATTTTTACATCACTGTTCAAGGGAAAAATGACTTGCAACCATCTGCTAACTTAATTCTGACGTCACATTACCAGGGGAGGCCGTCTATGGACCCCTCCTCCACACAGCCAGCCTCCTATGGCACACGACACACTTTTCTTCCCGGCCTCGCTATGAGGGCTCAAGCCCCAAACGCAGGCCACCAGCCCCCAGCATCCATCATGGGCTCATCAAGTCCGCACCTCCCGGGCTGGACGGTCCCCGTTCGGGCCTCCCCGGCCCCATCGCAGGCTGAGCAAACCTGGACACTTGCCCTCAGACGGTGCCGAGCTGGGGTCACCTCACGCGGGTGCCTCCCGTGTGCATTTCGCTCTCTGCTGCCCGAGGGTCACAGAAATGACCAAGGCCTGGCCCTGGGGGAGCCGCAGCCAGGGGGGGAGGGGGAGAACTGAGGACTCCCGGGGAGGAGCCAGAAGCCCTTGTTGGCAGCCCCTAATGTCCACCGAGGCTGTGAAACACTTTCTGTGTTTGAAGAGCTTTCCAAAGGTCAACTCACTCAATCCTCGCCGCACTCTTAGGACACCATTATTCCCCCACCTTACAGACGAGGAGACCGCGGCTCAGAGAGGCTGAGAGCCACACCGCTTTCATGGCAGAGTCAGGATATGAACTCAGGCCCTCGGGCTCCAGAGTCCATCATGAAAACCACCTCGCTCCTGTGGGCTCTGTGGGGCCAGCGTCAGGCCACCTCTCTGCCCTTCCTGCGGCTGGCACAGGGCCTTCCTGGGGAGGTGCTCAGTCAGTGTTTGCTGGATGGAGGCCCGTAGGCCTGATGTGCTGCTTGTGGATAGCACTGTAGACAACCAGGGCCGGCGGCAGAGCCGTGGGGGCGGGCGGAGGCTGACACACAGACCAGCACCCTCACTGATGGATTTGGGCCCCAGGGCACCACATCCTGCTTCCAAGGGCTGCAGCCTGGTGGAGCGCGTGGCCTTGCCGACAGGGCGAGGGGAGGGAGGGTCCGGCAGGCTTCCTGCAGGGTCTCCGGCAGAGGTGCCGCTGGAGAAAAGGAGGAGGAGGCTGATGGGGGAAGAAAGGAGAGAGGCCGCACCTGCATCACAGCCCAGGGACAGAACAGAAGAAGCAAGGGACCACACGAGGCCCACAGAACCACGCCCGCATGGTGAGCCACGGACTCAACTTTCTTGATAGACCTCAGGCTTGGCCAGGAGTAAGTCCAAGTCTGTGTTCAGGGACCCCTAAACCACTGCCTTGCCCAATCCTCAAACTTTTATTGTTAAAAAAAAAAGAATAAAGTTTTTATTGTGATAAAATACACATGGAAAATTTACCATTTCTTTTTCAGATATATTTTTTATTGACTTCAGAGAGGAAGGGAGAGGGAGAGAGAGATAGAAACATCAGTGATGAGAGAGAATCATTGATCGGCTGCCTCCTGTACGCCCCACACTGGGGATTGAGCCCACAAACTGGGCATGTGCCCTGACCAGGAATCAAACCGTGGCCTCTTGGTTCACAGGTGGATGCTCAACCACTGAGCCACCGTGGCCGGGCCCATGTTAACCATGTGTAAGTGTACAGTTCGGTGGCATGAAGTACATTCACCCTGCTGTGCCACCATCACCACCATCATCTGCAAAACACTTTTCATCTTGTCAACCAGAAACCCTGTCCCCATTCAACACTCAGGCCCCACCCCTCTCCCCAGCCCCCGGCATCCGACATCCTGCTTTCTGTCTCTATGCCTTTGACTGCTCTAGGGACCTCATGTGAGTGGAATCATACAGTATTTGTCTTTTGGTGACTGGCTTAGTTCCGATAGCATAACGCCCTCAAGATTT